TTTTTCTGACTAATTTGACGCCAACCCCAACTAGATGTATTCTAGTTTAATTTCCAAGTCAAGGGTATCCTCATATGTTGCTCATGTCTCTCAAAAACTCTCACTTTCCCTCACCAGTAACCGTCTGACTCCAACACTCCAGAAAATTTCTGGGTCTCTCTTGACCCGAGAATGGGCTGCTTTTCGAGGGGATTTTGGGTGGCTTCCCGACCTCCATTTGGGACGTGCGACCTACGGTTGGAAAGATCTTCGAATTTAGTTCCACTCTCTAGTTGAAGGTTTTGGCTAATTTTGGCTCGAAGTTCATGAAAATCTCCCTTTTCTCTCCAAAAGCCAATCTGAAACTTTTTTGGGTTGATTTTCTGTTTGAGTTGCGTCCGAGGGTGAGTTTTTGGAACGACCGTCCCCTCTCCTCCTCTTGTCTCATCCCTTTCTTTTTATCCCCCAAAAGAACGTGCTTCAGAGATCCTATCCACCGAATCCAATCCGATTTTTAGCCCGTGATTGCCCACTTACCAAGCCTGCAAACTGAGTCTCTTCACCAACTCTCATACTTTGCAGCTGTTGAGTGAGCAGGGTTGACTGAGATTATCACGTGCCTTCAGCAGCTTATCCCTGGCAAATTTTTGTCCATTTGCACTCCTAATGATGGTCTCACACCTCGGCCAGAGTTCACGCTGATCGGCTGGCTGAGTAGGATATGGTGGGGCCACAAAGTTGGCTATTCAGCAGCCTCGAATTGAGACCAAATCGTGGACCGGTTTTTGGATGCTGATTTAAGTGCTTTAATCCATTAATTTGGTCGGAATTTTTTATCAGTTTGCAAGTTGAAGTATATTAGTTTAAGATGATAATCAGAATTTGCAATTTTCCATGCCCAATTTTGCAGGAAAGTCCCTCAGAATTAGCCATTTTCTTGCCCGAGAATGCCCGATTTGAGCCAATTTAGTCCTTTTGGCTTGATCTGATCAATTTTACCTTGCCCGTTTTCAATTTCAAGCTTGATTAGGGGTAAAAATGATGATTTAAGGGCTTGGGGGCGAATTTTACAAATTTTGCGATTTGGTCCCCCAACTTTTGGAAATTGCATTTTGGCCCCAACTTGCTGGTTCATTTGCAATTTGATCCCTCAGGTCTCGGCTAGCTACACTCGCATCCTTGGCCCTTGCTCTTCCATTTTTTTTTTCCAAAATATTTTTGTCAAAAAACAAGTTCCAATTTTTCGAAAATGATTTTTGGGCAAAAAATTTAGGTGTCAACATGTGCTCAATGCTATACCGAAGGAAGCAACATAAATGTGTACGAGAATCTAATTTTGTGCATCACGTGGAAGAAGGTGCACAAAACAAGCACTACCAAAGACGCGAAGAAGACTATAATTTGGGATATTACCATACAAACGCTCAAAGGAGAAATGTTACCTATAATGGGTGATGGGATACGATGGATAGTGTAAATAGCAGTGTGACAAGCTTCCCTCCAAAACTATTTAGGACAAAAGGCAGAGACAAGAATAGTGCGTACAACATTTAAGATATGCCTATATTTACGTTCTGCTCTACCATTTTGTTGGGAAATACCGGAACAAGAGCGATGAATGATAGTACCATTTTGAAAAAGAACTCTAAGAAATTCTGTGTTTCTATATTCCATAGCATTATTAGTACGAAAAACCTTAATATCCTGTGAAAATTGGGTTTTGATCATGGCAACAAAATCACAGTAACACGAGTAAGTTCAAAACGATTTTTCATTAGATAAAGCTAACAATAACGAGAGTGGTCATCCACAAAAATAACAAAATAGCGAGAGCCACTCATGGTGGGGGTGGGAGATGGTCTCCGAATGTTAGAGTGAATGAGCTCAAAAGGAGCATGAGATACAAATTCACTAATCTGAAATGGTAAAGCATGATGTTTTCCTAACTTACAAGACAATCAATCAAAATGTTTATTATCAACAGAACTAAATGACCACTTGAAATCAATAAACTTAACCTAGAGAAAGAAGCATGACCTAATCGAGAATGCCAAGTTTCAAATGACACTGTGGAGCACAACCATCAAAAGAGGTCGGAATATTTAGGGAAACAAGCTCAAAGAGGCTCCCCACTTTACGGCTTGTCCCAAGTGTCTGTCCCATCCAACAATTCTGCACATAACAACCTTGAGAAGAGAAATGAATATCAAAACCCAATTCACACAATTGTCCAACAGATACAAGTTTAGTGAGAGTTTAGGAACTAAAAAGGTGTTAGGTAAGGATAATGTTGATTTGGAAATGTTTCTTGTATGACTAACTCTCATCTGTGGGTTATGGGCTATATGAATAAGAGGTGCATGTGAAGTGAAAGATTTAGACTGAAATAAATAGAGTTGGATGTCGTGTGATCGCATTAAGCATAATAAAAAAGCCATGAATGAGATATATCTAGAGTGACATACATAGGAGAAGTGCTAGGAACAAAGTAACTAAAGGTACCAGATTCTCAAAGAATAGAACAAAGCTCCTCTAAGGATAGTGTGATGGATGATCCACGGGTAGAAGTCTCTACTGTGGCTGCACTGGTAGATGAACGGGCAGGAAGACCTCGATTGCAAGTTCGATTGGCCGATCCTGCGGGTTGCGTAGGTTGTAGCTGATAACAATTAGATGCTAGATGACCATGCCGGTGATAGTGTCTGCAAAAAGGGTTGCGCAAGGAGGAAGAACTCGAAGCGGCAAGTACCACATCTGTAGGTGTGGAGAAGGGCACGGCAGTGCGCTGCACTTTCAAGGTAGTCAGTTGAGTCTCCTCGATCAACAATTCCGATACAATCGTCTCAATGATCTCTATGCTAAAGGGAGGCCCTCACAGGTTCAAACTCATCATTCAAGGCCATAAAAAATTGCATGACATGCACACGATCATAATATGCAGCAACTTTGCAAGCATCACTAGTCCCCTCCAAGTGCGGTTCAGACAAGATTAACTGATCCCAAATAGCATGCATAAAGGATAGAAAATCATTAATGGATTAACCTAGATCCTGATGCATGTGATATAAATTCCCCAACAGCTGATACTAATGGGCAACATTTGAACTAGAATAACGTCTAGCAAGAAGATCCTAAGCTTCCTTTGTCGTATTAAAAAGGCCAAACTAGAGTCGAATAGATGGGATTGAGGTGTTTCGAAACCATGTGATAATCTAATGATTCTTACTATCCGATTCCTCCAAACGATCAACAAATTTAGCCTCAGTTTCTTCAATATTTTTAGTAGGCACACAAATATCTCTAGAGACATAACCCCAAAGCCGGTGTCCTTTCAAGAAGCTTGATATTTCTTAAGCTCATAAAACATAATTAAATAGTCTGGATGGGCATTAAAACTTCCAAGTTTTCCATGATAAGCACTTAACTAGTTTTAACCAGTAGAATCCAATATGTTGAGAGCAGTTATTGACAAAATAAGGCCGAAAATTAATTCAAGACGTCGAAATACCTTAAGTATCGGTTGAAAAACACCAAAAATTGGTCAGGAAAAGATCGAACCGATCTGAAATGCAACAAAACCGATCTGGTCTGAACTGGTCAATGATTGGTCAATGCCGATCAACGGTTGGTCAATGCCAATCAACGATCAGTCAACAGTGGGATGACGTGATGTATGATGTCAGTAGCCTAGAGAGCCGTTGGTGTGTGCAGGAGCGTGTCCCTAGGGAGACGCGTGGATCTCACACGCCGTACTTCTTGCGGCACATTCGGCGGCAGTGAATATTCACAAGCTGACTCGGCGGAGGGTGGCGAGTCGTGAGTGGATTTTTCGAAATGCACAGCGGAAGGCATCCAAATCACCACTAAACAATGGTAGGCTCTTTGGGTCCGAGACACGGTGGTGGCGTTTGGCGTCCATTGGCGATGAAATTTTAGGATGTGGCTCATCTAAGGGGGCAAGTTTGATGGTGGTGTCGGTTTTCTGAGATGAGCAGCGGAAGTATGCCAAATAGCAACTAAAGGCTTTGATCTTGGCGGAGAATTAGGAGTGTCGCGGTTGGTGAGGCTAGCGTCGTGACGGCCACCGTGTAGTAGACTCATTGGGCACTCCTTAAGTAACAATGGCTTTTATACCAAGTTGTGATTTGTGATTTGTGGTAAAAGAGAAGAAAGTGCAGTATATTCATATTACTCAAAAGAAGAGTGCAAGCCATCCCTTAATGTAAACTACAGTTAACCTAATATCAAATATATGCATCTAACAAACGGAAAAAATATATGAAATTTCAATTTGTATCGTAATTAATTAGTGTGTATCATGTCTCGTTATCGAAGTATACAATCTATATGTGTGTGTGTGAGCTACACCATTGATTTTCCCCAATTAATCATCCATGATAATACATCCCTAAACAAGAAGGTATCAATTTGCTCTCCAAAACCCCAACTTTGCTTTGCTTCTAAAGTATCCCCTGGATCGCTTCAAACCCTGCATGCAAATCACACAGCAATCGCCAAAATTTCTAAGAATTGAGATAAATCTACAGAGACACAAATTGAAAGCAAAACAATGAACAATAGTCCAATCAAAGAACCAGTTACTTACTGTACAAACTCGACGTTTACAGATGATGCAGATGGATTTGCAATGGCCTCGAACGCGGTCTTGGACAGGACGATGGTGGCACGGTCCGAGGAGGACCGAGAGACCGCGCTGAGAGCCCGGTCCACGATCCTGACCTGGACCAACTGGGCCGGATTGCAGGTCTTCGGCCGGTCAGCGCTTATGCAGCGGACCCAATATTGCCTCCCGCAAGCGGCCCCGTTGTCCCAAATCCCTTCCCCAGCAGCAGCGAACAGGAAACTCGAGGGAAACTGCAACGGATCGTACCCGAAACAAGCGGTCGCTGCGATCATATTACAACAAAACATGTCCATGTTTAGACAACGATCAAACTGTATTAACGTGGCCCAGTAATATACCGGAAATTAAGAGCCGGTTCGACAACATATTTACTTACGCGTGTATGGAGGATCATAGTGACTGGCGGTGCCAACGTCTGCATCACATTGGGGAAGCAATAGCACGGCGATAACAGTGATCGATATGAGACAGCGAGGGACGACTTGCTGCAATCGCGACATTGTCGAGAGCCAACCTGCAGAGAGTTTGGAAAGATGGGATACTTATTGTATGTGATCGAGAAATCTCAGGTGAAAGTTGATGGGTTGTTGTCGCTTGAGACGGACGATCCGTACGAGGATTAACGAGGGAAGTGGTGGGTGGAAACTACAAAAAGTAATCGGACCTGCGAACGAACAAAGAGAAGAATAAAAATAAGCTTTTTTATTAACCCCATGAAGAGTTCTCATTCTCTATCTTTTTGAAAAATCTTCGAAGGATCGACACAGAACGAATCTAATTCTCTTCTAATTCTCCACGCCCCTGGTCTTTTCTCGCACCAGCTTCTTGATTCACCAGGACATAGATTCTCCTTTCTAGTAACCTTATCGCGTCCTAGAAATATCACCCAAAACCCCCGACGTGACGCAAAGCCGAGCGCGTTTGCTTCAGATATTCGAAAACTAGAAAGCTTTACTGTTCATTTATGTTCTGTCACACGAAGGAAATTCTTATGCACGATCCCTACCCAGCTAGCCAAGTGATGGGTCCATTAGGGGGATAGAACGTAACGTACTTGAGGACGAAGTCAAACAAAAGGAAGCCTCGCTAACTTTAGAGGATGAATTCTATCTTATCTTTGATTCCCAGTACGGCCTATCACTTTAGCTTGCTTGGTTTTGAGGTAGCGTTTGATGTTGACGATCTGATACGCCATAGGAGACCCATAAAGAGCAAGAAAATGGGAGAGGGTTTCGTTGGGGGAATCACTTCACGTGATGATGAAGAGAAGTGGTATTGATGCGTGGTGTGTGAGGAAACAAAAGGTGGAGATCTTAACTGGCTAATTTGACCACAGTTTTTCTCCACACTTTTGATCCTGTCATCTCTACATTCCTTTCTGACTCTCGCCCGATCCGGCAAGGACGGCCCAAGGAAAATGAAAAAAAGGAAAAAGACAATAGAAAATAAAAAAAAAGAAAAAAAAAGTAAAGAAGGAAAAGAAAAGAAAAGAGAAGAGAAAAAAGGGAAAAATAAAAAATTAATAAAAAAAAGAAAAAATATTAAAATATTATTAAAATTTGTCCACTTCAGCGCTGGCCGTGTCACGTAGGATGGTTGGCGTCCATGTCAGCAATTTCCTACCAAAATTAGCCGGATGAACTCGATTGGCAAAATGTGAAATGATTTAGGACTTAATTGACACAATTAAAATGTTTAGGACTGAAATACAATAAGTAATAGGTTTAAGACTTTTTGGACAATTTTCCCAAATCTATTTTCGGAGGGAAAATCGATTTCTAACTTTTTTTTTAACGAACAAAAAGGGTAAAAGTAGGCAACCGATGCTAGCAACCCTCTCAAAGGTTATCAGAGGGAGTTTCAAGCCTACCAAGAAATGTCCGATCCTGAGTTCTAGCTACTGCCCACGGGGTCTAGACTTTAGGGCCTCAAGAAAATTGTTGGTGCTCTCGATCTTTGGGCGTGGGTCTCACACGACCTAACAGCTCATGTAAAGTGAACTAACATAAGCCTGAAGCACCAAAAAAACGAGCTCGAGATGACAATAAGCCAATCACTATAGCCTAGAAGGATGCTAGTGAAATAAAAACCACTTCATTCATGAGGACCACCGTCACAAATGACTAGTAACTTGTAATCACTCAAGAAAAGAAAGAAAACGATCCCAAATAACTTTTCCATTAGGCCAACCACTAAAAAATCCCTGAAACAAGAGGTTAAAAAACAAAAACAACGAAGTGGGATGAGACGGTTTTACCTGTTTGATTTGGGAAGAGAGCTCTCAAAATCTCCAAATTCGGGGACAATGCCTTCTACTTTTCCAAACTCTGGACATGTTTTTGCGACAGACCATATGACCTCGTGCATATTTATATGAATTGATTAATGGAACAAGTCTTGCCGTCCTTAATTATTTTGTTAATCGCATGGCCTTGAAAACAAGAATCAACAAGACGAGAGCTAGGGTTTATCTTAGCCGAATTATCTTAGATCCGTCCTTAATTACTTTTCCTGTGTGTTAACCTTAGGTCCTTCACAAAACCCAGAAATTTTCTCGATCGAACATGATAAAAAGAGCAATGTCGTGGATGTTAAGACTCGTCTACAAAATGGGTTTATTAAGTGATGCGGCGCTCTGCAGTAGAAACGCTCCTCTTTTCGGGTTCGGAGTTCTTTCCCCTGCGCGCGACGTTAGTTTCGGCTAATTAGGCCAGCAAAATCAGGCGGTGTTAGGGGAACGAACACTCGCTAACAGCTAAGATTGATATTGCCGGCTTCTATGCGCTTCCGAAGAATAATCCAATGCAATGTGCAGATTCATCACTACAGTGACGGAGGAACTGCTCTTTTTGGCAGACGTTTACAGCGAGGATATCGAATTGATAGAGTGTTATCTTGTCTTTTTCTCATATCTCCATCTTGATCGGAGGAAATTTCCTACGATCACATCTTTGATCGATAAGTTGCGCGTTAACGATATCGACCATGTAAAAGTTTAACCGATACGAGTAATGCGCATATTTGTAACCGGCCAATACGAAACGTAATTGGAGGAAGTTTCATTCAATCAAGAATGGAGGAAAACATCGATATTTAAAATATTGTGATGGTGGGATATATCTATGTGATGCATGTTAAAGCATCAATTCGTGATAATATTCATTAGCTCATGCACCAGTTAATATGTTCAATCATTAATATGTAGAATTGTATAAAACCTTTTTCATAGTTTTTCGAAATTCGCGATGCTTTTTTTTCCGGCCAACTCAAATACGAAGACCAAATGTGGTACACTTGGCGGTGTCGCTGAGCTCACACATCGCATAAGATATTCAAGAAATCCGGGATCGATGGGTTCGCATCATTCCCCTTCCGCATCTCACGTTCACATCGACCGCACAAGATCGTACCAAAAACAACAAAAGATGATCAAAGCCAATCGAAAGGAGAGAGAAGAGAGGGACCGTGATGTGATGCGTCTACGCACCTGACGATTGGACCGGAAAAGACGACCGAGAAATGCCCCGGTCGACGAAGCCCCTTCTTCCTGCAAAATCTATCCGACAGATCCACGAGCTCTAGATCACGCACGAAACACCGACGCTGGTTTTCCTGGGAAACTCGGATGTTTCGTTCGTTCACGAGCCAGGAACAGACATTATTATCGGTTCATATGTATATATGCACGAACGATCCGAGACGCAGCGTGTGCACGAGTTGTCGTGCGCCCGCTACGCACGTTACGCGCTCTGTAACGCTTGGGGCCAGTGTGAGTTGTCTTTTGCCCTCCTTAACTGCGTTAAGCAGCCATCTCTTCTACGCGAAAGAGAGATGTTTGTTTGTAGGCAAGAGAATGGATGGCAATGCCTTGTTAAGGCGATCCTGTCGCGTAACATGAGGGATTTTGGCGAATTAGCTCACACTGCTTGTTTGTTCCCTCCAATTGATAGATGATTACCTAACTAAGGCAAGATAATGGAACCCTCAGATATGAGATACCGAAAGGGGAATCGAGTCGGTTTTTTGGGTAATTTTTAAAAGATTTCGTGTTCTTCATTTAATTTGGTCGGCACGTGTCCAGTTTTCGACTCGAGGAGGTACTCCGACATTGTGTGTATGAGCCCCATTGACATTGTGATGGATAAGAAATATGTCAAAAGAGAGAAATATGGAATTTCAGTATATTTCTATATTAAACAATGAAGAGTACAGGAGCCTATTAATGGACTTTATCAGAAGATTATTTAAGGTAATATATTAATCAATGATATGCACAATCAAACCTAAGAGATAAGGATAATCAAGATAAGTATTGTAATTATCTCTAACAGAGGAGAATATCTAAGAGAAATATCTCTAATAGCGATTATATATGAATTTCGGGTGCCCATATTAGGTATGGACATGTATTATGGAATGCATATGTCTAGTGGCAAAAGTGTCAAAAAAGTCATAAACCTTTTACATTGGTGCCAATTTAGTCATAAACCTTTTACATTTGTGCCAATTTAGTCCTAAACCTTTTTTTGGTGCCAATTTAGTCCTAAACTTTTTGCATTTGTGTCGATTCAATCCTAAATCTTTTGCATTGGTGCCAATTAAGTCCTAAATCTTTATTTGGTGCCAATTGAGTCCTAAACCTTTTGCATTGGTGCCAATTCAGTCCTAAACCTTTTGTATTTGTGCCAATTCAGTCCTAAACCTTTTTGAGCTAAATTAATCGGAAGGACTGAATTGGCACAAATACAAATGGTTTAGGATTGAATTGGCACCAATGCAAAAGGTTTAGAACTGAATTGACACCAAAAAAAGGTTTAAGATTCAATTGGCACCAATGCAAAATGTTTAGGATTGAATTGGCACAAATACAAAAGGTTTAAGACTGAATTGGCACCAAAAAAAGATTTAGAACTAAATTGGCACCAATGCAAAAGGTTTAGGACTTTTTTGACACTTTTCCTTATGTCTAGTTGATCTAATAATCTGAGATGATGTGATGTGATCTAATCTAATAAAATATATATAAAATAGGTTCTAGACTCCATGTTGGTTTGAGCCACCTACTCGATTTGCGCCACGTGTGGCTGCTCCCGGCCAATGAGCAAACACCTACATTTTTAGACGAAGTGGCAGTTAATTTTGTTTTAGTATCTAACTTGCTCATCGTTGTTATAGTCGAGGCCAGGCATAAAAGGCCAATGTGCAAACATCTAAATTTCAAACAAATATCTATAGGGTACTTACTAAGGAGATTGGGGGTTTATAGTTCTTTGGAAAGAAATGCAAATTTGATATATGTGAAACCTTACTTTAGAGCATAGACAAATACATAATAGTTTTTACGGCTTTTTTGAACAGTGTCCTGAGAGCACTTTTATACCAAAAAGAGACTTTCGTAGATATTTAGTACATTTAATTTAATGAGAGGAGCCTTTCTTTTTTGATATAGAAGTTTGAAAGTTCATAAAAGAGACTTTAGCACACCTAATGCATTTAACTTTGATAGGAGGAGCCTTTTGTTCTAAGGAGAAAAAAAAGGAGTTTACACTTTTGATAAATGAATGTAAAAGATGTAAGAAATATTTTAAAATGGGTTAATACCACCAAAAACCCTAAACTGATACACTTGTGACAAATTTATCTCAAACTAATTTGTTGACCACAAAAAACCCCAAACTGGTACACTTATGACAAATTTACCCCAAACTAATTTTTTGACCACCAAAAATCCTAAACCGGTACATTTGTGATAAATTTACCTTCCGTTAAATTGAATTAATACCACAAAAAATCACAAATCGGTACACCTGTGACAAACGGAGGGTAAAATCACAAACTGATACGCCCGTCTACTGTCACATGTCATCCAACTAAAAAATTTGACGGTAAAATTTAACGAAAACTAATGAAGGGTAAAATTGTTACAAGTGTACTAGTTTTGGGTTTTTGGTGGTCAAAAAATTAATTTGGGGTAAATTTTCACAGGTGTAGCACTTTGGGGTTTTTCGTGGTATTAACCATTTTAAAATCTCAATATGAATATCAGAGACATCATATTATATTATTAGGTTCTTATATGCATAACAAAAATGAACTAGGGTTGTGTGATAGAGAAAAATAGTCTGGTAAAGTCACATCAAATGGATGATACGGATAAATTTAGACCCTCCGATGAATTGTTTTTTTTTTTTTTGATGACCCAGGGAACCCCCGCACGGCCGACAGCCGGGAGGTAAATCCTGGGGGCGACACATGCTAGCCACCACACACGTGCACCGGTTAAGTCACCCTGCGGCACCTGGGATTCGAACACTCAACCTTTTGCGAGAGGAAGAGTGCGCGCTCCAGCAGCACCACCCAAGCGGGTGGTCCCTCCGATGAATTGTTTTTTTTTTTGGTAAGTCCTCCGATGAATTGTTGATGTGTCGAATTTTCAAGAAAATTTTAATCTTATGGTTTAAGTATCAACTCCTTGTTATATATTAGTATAAGAAAAGCTGCACTAATTGTAATTATATTTGCCTCCAAATTGTAAGATTTTTTCCTTTTCTAATTATCTCATAAATTTGGACCAAAAAAAAATTATCTGATAAATATCTATATAGTAGTCTCTATATTCACTTTTGCAAATTGTATGCCGACGAGATAATCTTTCCAAAGGTCACCAGAGATGGGCAGAAGTGAAAATTCATAAACCACAATTACTTCATATAAAATTTCTTTTTAGCTTGGGGATGCTATCCATTTTATCCAAATCGAAATGCTAAGATGGAGAGAAATATTTCTCGTGAAAATTTGTATGCTTCCTGAGATAATTCACGCACAATTCCCTTCGAAACTTTTAATATTACATTAATTTGGTTTTGGTATGAAATTCAGATAGATGAAAATTACTTCAGAAATCTAAAAACGAACGAGCCATCGAAAAAAGTCTTCAATTACATTCAGTTCGACGAGCACATATTTCCTCCGAACCCCAGTATGGCAGAAGCGAGAAAGGAGGCCGAGATGGTTATGCTTGGCGCTCTTGATCAACTGTTTGAGAAGACATCTTTGAAACCAAAAGACATGGGGATCCTCATTGTCAATTGTAGCTTGTTCAACCCAACCCCATCTCTATCTTCAATGGTCATCAATCGCTACAAGTTGAGAGGGAATATCATCAGCTATAACCTCGGTGGAATGGGATGCAGCGCTGGTTTGATTTCGATTGATCTGGCCAAGGACCTCCTCCAAGTGCATCCAAATTCTTATGCCTCGGTCATTAGCATGGAGAACATAACTCTAAACTGGTACTTTGGAAATGAGAGATCGATGCTCGTGTCGAATTGCTTATTCAGGATGGGAGGAGCTGCAATTTTGCTATCCAACAAAAGATCTGACTGCTGGTGCTGCAAGTACAAATTGGTGCACCCTGTTCGGACCCACAAAGGCGCAGACGATAAGAGCTTCTCTTGTGTAACTCAGAAGGAGGATCCTACGGGAAGGATCGGAGTTTCTCTATCCAGGGATTTGATGGCAGTGGCTGGAGATGCCCTGAAGACAAACATTACAACATTGGGTCCTCTTGTGTTGCCTATGTCCGAACAGTTGCTGTTCTTCGCGACTCTGGTCGGAAAGAAGCTTTTCAAGATGAAATTGAAGCCATACATCCCAGATTTCAAATTAGCCTTCGAGCATTTCTGTATTCATGCTGGAGGAAGAGCAGTGCTCGATGAACTAGAGAAGAATCTGCAGCTTTCGGATTGGCACATGGAACCTTCGAGTATGACGCCTAATCGGTTCAGCAACACATCGAGCAGCTCTCTTTGGTATGAACTCGCTTACAGTGAAGCCAAAGGAAGGATCAAGAAAGTTGACAGGACATGGCAGATAGCTTTTGGTTCGGGATTTAAGTGCAACAGCGCTGTTTGGAAGGCTCTTCGCACCATGAATCCCGCAAAAGAGAAGAATCCATGGATGGACGAGATCCCTCAGTTTCCAGTGGAGGTCCCGAAGGTCTCGGCCATCTAGAGTTCAAAGGTAACTTCATTTGTTTCTAGCCTAGTGTAAGTTTGCTAATTTCAGTAGTTAACTGGGAAAGAGTTTGAGATGCCATTCTTTTAGCTTGATATTGGAGAGATGGAAGTAGATTATTGAACCCTCTGGATATTGGATGTTATAGCTAGAGCTGGACTCTGGGAAATGTATGGTGGCTTTGGAGTTTGATTCCAATATCCATTGTTCATTCCCTTTTGGCATCTCTTACCAATCTGTATTCTGAACCTTCTTTGGAGTCCTGAATGTTTGACTGATCATTAGGGCTTGAAATTTTTCTTTTTCTATCAGATCGTCTTAAACTGGTTGGCTGCCAATAAGTGTCTGAAACCGTCGATATGCATTTCTACTTGCGAGAGCTAATTTGCATCAGAAGAAGCATATATCGAAAACGACCCGATTCAACTCAACACTACCTAAATCCACCACTTTTCAGGGGAGATGTTGAGGAACCAGAGGTAAAAAGTTCACTAACCTAAAAAGTTCACTAACCTTAGACAAACATTACAACATCGATTTTAATATCGATGTAATAGACCATATGGCTAACAATGTTTCCGGCAGTATCAATTCATTTCAGGATGTGCTCGTTTCACTCAAAACTTTATGATAAAGAAAAATATTCTCCATTGAAATCATCTTCAAGGAAAAGGGTTAGTTTTCACCTATTTTGTGGTTTAGGATAAGTGATTTCCTTCTTGCCAGAAGAGGAAGTCGTTTTTTCCCAATCTAAGCTTATTGTTTTCAGTCCATGAAAAACATGTTTCGGAAAGTTGGAAAATAATTTTCCTTCAAACAAATAGACCCTTAATATATAGTGAGGAACATAGTCAATTATAGTAACGTCATATACAATTTTCCTTAAAACCCTACTTTGCTTTGCTTTGCTTCCCAGGTATCATCCTGATCACTTCAAACCCTGCATTTAAATCACATAACAAATCACCAAAATTTCTCAAAACTGAGATAAATCTACAAAGACACAAATTGAAAGCAAAATAATGAACAATAGTCCAATCAAAGAACCTGCTACTTACTGCACGAATTCGACATTGACAGATGATGCGGACGGATTCGCAATGGCCTCGAACGCGGTCTTGGACAGGACGATGGTGGCACGGTCCGACGAGGACCGGGAGACTGCGCTGAGCGCCCGGTCCACGATCCTGACTTGGACCAACTGGGCCGGGTTGCAGGTCTTTGGCCGGTCAGCGCTTATGCACCGCACCCAATATTGCCTCCCGCAAGCGGCGCCGTTGTCCCAAATCCCTTCCCCGGCAGCCGCGAACAGGAAACTTGAGGGAAACTGCAGCGGATCGTACCCGAAGCAAGCAGTCGCTTCATATTACACAAAACGTATCAATGTTTAGACAAGGATCAAATTGTAGTAACGTGGCCCGGTGATATACCGGAAATTAAGAGCCGGTTCGACAGCATATATACTCACGCGTGTATGGAGGATCGTAGTGACTGGCGGTGCCGACGTCTGCATCGCATGGGCGAAGCAATAGCGCGGCGAGCACAAGGATCAATGAGAGACAGCGAGGGACGGCTTGCTGCGATCGCGACATTGTCGAGAGCCAACCTGCAGAGAGTTTGGAAAGATGGGATGCTTGTTTTGTGTGATGGAAAGATCTCAGGTGAAAGTTGATGGGTTCGTGCCGCTTGAAACGGACGATCTGTACCAGGTTTATCAAGGGACGACGTGGGTGGAAACTACAAAAGTTACTGGATCTGCAAACGAACAAAGAGAAGAATAACCGCATGAACACATATTAAAATGCATATGGCTGCAAAGATCAAATTGAGATTAAATAAGAGTCCTCATTCTCTCTTTCGAAAATATTCGAAGAACTGACTTCAAACGAATCTCATTCTCCGCGCCCCTGGTCCTCTCTCGCACCAGCTTCTGGATTCATATCCTTGATTCATCAGGACGTAAAGTCTCCTTTCTGGTAAACCTTATCGCGTTCTAGAAATATTGCCCGAAACCCTCGACGATACGCAAAGCTAAGCACGCGTTCCGCTTCAGATATTCGAAGACTAGAAAGCTTTTCTGTTCATACATGCTCTGTCACACGGGGGAAATTCCTGTACACGATCCGTGCCCAGATAACCAAGTGATGGGTCCAATGAGGACAAACAGAAGGACATCTCGCTGACTTTCGAGGATGGATTCTGTCTTATCTTGGATTCCCAGTTTTGGCCTATCACTTCAGCTTGCTTGGTTTTGAGGTAGCGTTTGACGGTCGACGACCGAACCTCCGTGATCTGATACGCCATTGGAGGCCATAAAGAGCAAGAAAATGGGGAGGAGGGTTTCGTTGGGAGAATCACTTTACGTGGTGATGAAGAGAAGTGATATTGAAGCGCTTGACCGCCTGATCAAACCGAAACGAATTGTCCTCTTTCTAACGAAATTTAGTTTGGGAAAAAGCTGGCATTATGGGCCTATTGTCGGACGGACCACGCCTACTGAGAAATATCGTGTTCGAGTTCTAACCACTACGCACGAGGTCTAGACTTTAGGGCCTCGAGAGATGGGAAAATTATTAGGCACTCCCGACCATTGGGCGTGGATCCCAAATGATCTAATGGCTCATGCGAAGCGGGGTAACGTAGATCGGGAGTTATAAATAAAAAAACAAAAAGAACAGCCCAAGATTGCAATGAGCCGATCACTCTAGCCTCATAGGAATGCTAGTGAAATAGCAGCCGCTTCATCTGTACAGGATTCGGGACCACCACCCTCACAAATGACTCGTAGAATGCAATTGGTACAAATGGTCCCTGAATTTTAATTTTGTTTAATGTGACCTCTGAAATTTAATTCAATGTGCAATGTGGTACCTGAACATTTAATTTGTTCAACATGATTTCTGAACTAAATTGAAAATTTTCATACAGTTTGGAAACTAAATTGAACATGTATCAAAAGTCCCGGAATCATATTGAACAGATTTAAAGTTTAGGGATCACATTGCATATCGAATCAAAGTGTAGGGACCATTTATGTCATTATCCTCTAAAGAAAAAGAAGGGTGAGAGCAATCCCGAGACTTGTCCATTCGGCCAACCACCGAAGAATCCCCAAAAATTAGACGTGGAAAAAGAAAATCATGAAGTGGGAAGAGATGGTTTACCTGCTTGATGTGGGAAAATTAGAGCTCTCAAAGTTTCCAAATTTAAGCACAATGCTTTTCCCTTTTCCCTTTTCCAAGCTCTTGACATACTTGTGAGAGACCCTGGCTTCATACTTATAATGGTTCACCAATGGAACATGTCTCCTCTAGGATCCCCTCGGTCGGGTACGTATGCCGCCCTTAATCAGTTTGTTAATCGCATGGCATTTTTTTTTTGACTAAAAAAGATTAACTAGACGGGCCGAATATTCATCTTAGGATTCGCCGCGTTGTGGAGAAATAAATTTTTTAACAAGCGTGCATATTGAAAGAGCAGCGTCGGGGACATCAAGGCTCGCCTACGGAATCGGTTTATTGAGTGATGCGACGCTCTATGAGTCGTTTAACTTCGGCAGGCCGGTGTCGGGATGTCTAGCATCGATGGTTCTGATGAAAGTGCTCAAAGTGCTCCTTTTTCTGGGGTTGGACCTCTTCCCTACATGCGACATTAGCTTCCGCTAACCACGCAGGCCAGGCCAGCAAAATCTAGCTGTATCAGGGGACCGAATCGCTCACTAAACAGTTAGATTTCATGGCCGTTTGGTGATGGGTACATTGCCGTCTTCTATTCGCTTCCGTATAATACTCCAATTCCTGTCGAGGTCACTCACTACAGTAACCCAAGGAACTAGTCTCGGTAGATGTCTTGTTTTTCTATGTTTCTTTCACGGCGACAACGTCGAATCGCCGGAGCGTTCCGACCCTCGGCTTTAGCGGTGAATTTTCGTTGCTGGAAATAGTCGATGGTCGGCGGTCCCGGTCGGAGGAACCGCGTCTCGAACGGATGAGTTGCGTGTTTATGGACATCACCCGGATCAAAATTCAATTACCGTTAGTCATGTGCGTGTTTATAGCCAATCAAATCGGAGATACGGTTGGAGGGGAACATCTATATATATCTCGAAGGGCAAAGTTTGATGATTTCATGTATTTCAAATTTCAGGCACCCAATCTCACATGCAAGTCGAAGAATAAAGAGGTACAAAACAGTAACGATGACGATGATGGGTTCATGCTAGTGAAAGAAGAGAGGGAGCGAAATGTAAATATACCGACGTACTGAGAGAGACGGACGAAATACGCCCAGGTCGAAGCCCTCTTCTGCAAATTCACTTGACAGATCGACGAGCTCTGGTCCTGCACGAAGCGCAAATGCTTTGAAATTTGGTTGTATTTGCATGCATACCAGGAACTGAGATTCCGAACTCCTGTATATATGCACGGTCGAAGACGCAGGCGTGTGCACGAGTCATTGCACGCGTCCGCACGTTACAATGTGTTATGTAACGTTTGGCAAGTGTGAATTGTCCTTGGGTCGTTCTTTCTTCTTGCCCTCCTTAACGCTCTTAAGCAACAACCCCTCCTAAGCAAAAGCGATCATGGATTGTCGGCAAGAGAATGGATTGCAACCCCTTGTGAAGCAATCTTGGGTTGACCCTTGCAAGCAAACACCAGATGGGAGGGGGGGGTGGGGGTGGGGGTGGGATTTGGCATTGAGGCATTGATTCGGTAAGTCGAATGGATCGAAAGATAGTTGAACCATCAGATTTGAGATACCGAAAGGGGAAAACCGAGTTGGGTTTCGGGTAATTCAGAAAGATTTCATGTTCTTCGTTTGATTTGATCAGCACATGTCAAGTTCTCCCTCTCTAGGAGGCATGGCAATATTAGGTACCGACGTATATTACGTGATGCATGTACAGTTGACGTAATAATTTGAGATGATCCAATCTAATATATGTAATCTAGTAAATTATATCTCAGAGTGGTTCTAGACTCCGTGTCGTCTTGAGCCAAGTGCTCGATTTGCGCCACGCGTGGCTGCTCTCGGCTGATGAGCAAACATCTACGATTTTAGACAAAGTGGTAGTCAATTTTTGTTTTAGTATCTAACTTGCTCGTCGTTGTTATAGTCAAGACCAAGCATAAAATGCCAATGAGCAAATACCTACATTTCAGACAAAATTTATAGGGCACCATACTAAGGACATTAGTATTGTTGTGGGGGTTTATAGTTCTTTGGAAAGAAATTCAAATTGGATTTATGCGAAACCTTACTTTAGTGCATACCCAAATACATAGTAGGTTTTTACGGCTCTTTTAAAGAGCGTCCCGAGAGCACTTTTATACCGATAAATAGACTTTTTGTAGATATTTGGTACATTTAAATTAATGAGAGGAGCCTTTCTTTTCTGAAATAAAAGTTTGAAATCAGTTGTAAACTCATTTATCCGTTTATGATCCAAATTGACCCATTAATCCGTTTATGACCCATTTATGTGCAATGTAATTTTCTTGACCCATACCCGACCCGACCCATACCCAATCCATACCTGATCAGACCCATATTGCTAAAACACTTCCATATTTAATTAAATATAGAAAAATTCATACCCAAGCTGAAATAAGAGTGCGGAGTGAGTGAGTGCAAAAATGAGTGAAGGCGAGAAAGATGCGTTGAGTTTAAATCAGTTGTAAACTCATTTACGATCCATTTACGACCCATTTAACACTAATATAAGACTTTTACCCATTTATGACCCATTTACTAAATATAACTAACCCATTTATGACTCATTTACTAATATATGGGTTAAAAAATGGGTTTATGACCCATTTTAACAGGTCTAAGCACACCTAATGCATCTAACTTTGATAGGAGGAGCCTTCTGTTCTAAGGAGAAAAAAAGGAGTTTACACCTTTGATAAATGAAAGTAATAAATGTAAGAAATACTTTAAAATCTCAATATGAATATTACAGACATCTTATTATATTGTAGGTTCTTATATGCATAGCGAAAATGAACTAGGGTTTTGTGATAGAGAAAAAATTGTCACGCCCCGTACCCCACGAAGCGCGATCATCTCACCTAAGGTCGTAATGGTGCGACGTCCCCAGGTTACGTCACCGACCCAGCATCCAATGCACAGAGACCAATGCACATGCGGAAGCAACGTATATATATATACACCCGTACACTATACAAGACAACCAAAGATAGCACAGCACTGGAATTAAGCAGGAATAAAAACGTTTTTACATTACTGCAGAAATTTATACAATATCCATTACAAGAAAAGCAACTAGAAGACAAATTGAGCAACGGCCAATGAACAAAAAGGATGGTGGCCCAGGGATATTAGACTAAGGCGGGGCTTGGTCAAAAAGGTGCGACATGCATAGACATAGTCTTCTCGATGAACTGGGGAATCCCAAAACGGTTTGGCGCCTCTACCATCCTCACTGCCGGGGATCTGAAAAGTCGGTTTCCAACAACCGTGAGACGAATCTCAGCAAGTAAATAACCCCTAAACCTAAACTAGGCTAACATGCACCTCCTGACAGCCAATTAAAACACACATATACAGTGTACCATCAATTCACAATAAATTCATAGGCCCACGGCCCAAATCATTCATATCACAGCCCTGCAGGTTTGGCATTTATCCACAATAATCACGTGCGAATTATCAAATATGCACAATTATTCCAACCCGAAGGCCACAGATATACCGACCTGAAGGCCACGACCCGAAGGCCACTTTCAGTAATAAATCGACCCGTAAGCCCAACCCGAAGGCCACAATTTATTCCGACCCGAAGGCCCGACCCGAATGCCACAATTTAAAACGATCCGAAGGCCCGATCCGAAGGCCAACAACTTAGTCACATCAGGTACGTGCATCTTT